TGAAGCCAACACAAGAGGTTATAGAAAAACAACACACTTTATTCACAACTCAGGTAGTCTCTGGCAAACTCACAGATTACAAGAGAGAGTTCTTTACAAGAGAGAAAACAAAAGGAAGAGAGGGTTTTTGAACCTGCCTCTCAATAACAAAAACTAAACTTATTTATAGCAGAAAAAGGAATCTAGGAATAGTAAAAATTAAAAATGGGTCCCTTATTAATGGATCCCAAAAACAGTATATCTACTGTTACTCAACAGTGTTTCTACTGTTGATAGTGACTCAAAGTACCTCAAAGATAACCCTATCTTATCTTTAGATCTTGTCCTTCCTTTTAAATTCTCTAAGGAAATCTTCCGCTTTGGACAACATATCTTCTGACATGGTTTTCTCCAATTCACAGTGCTGGGCCTCTTGAGTATCATCTGCGCTATCATCACTTGTTTCACTTCTCATTGAGGTGCTTGATTTTTCATAGTGAGTGATATTGAGGAGTAAATTCCTCCTGACTTCGTCCAAATACTCTTTTATCATTTCTTCTTTATTTCCATCTTGAATGGAAATTCTCCTGGCAATATGTTTGACGGAGTTGTCAGCAACTATTCCTTTGTGTGGAGTAGCACCATAATCTTGAATATTTTGAGAAATATAGTCCAACAATTCTTGGCCATATAATGATTTAGTTGTGGAATCCTTTTTCATTAATTTATCCCAAAAATTATTATAATAAGTTTGATATAAACACGGAATTTGTTCTTCAGTAAAACCTACTTCTGGGGACCATTTATGGATCCATGAATCGAGAATTCTATGAAGAAATAGATTTGTTCAATTTGTTCCATATAACAAATATGATCTGAGTGGTATAAATCATTAAGGTCTGGTGAAACCTTAACCCAGTCTTTGTATAATTTTAAAGATGGATCAGGTAAAATCTTTACCGTCGGACCATGGTATGACCACCAGTTCAAGAACCAATTAGGGATTGGATCAGCAAATATCTTTGCACAAACCTTAGTGAACCAAGTATGTTTATGCCTCTCATTGTTATAATAAAGGACTTTACTGAAAGCATTAATATAATCCCAATAAGTGAAGCTAGTAGGGACTTTGTTGAGGCAGATCTGCCTTCTTTCATCGAGGATATACCCCAATCTTCGATCGATATAATATGCTTTATGATCATTTTTGAGAAGTTATAAACGTTCTCGCTGGTGTTATAACCTGAGAAGTACTGAAATTCAACACTACCTGTATTCATCAAAATAGTTTCGTAATACAAATGAGTTTTCCATGACTCACCCGGAAAGTATAATCCGTTAAGTAAATATCGCTGGAATATCTTCCAGGGTTCTTCTTTCCTCTGAATCTTAGAGTTTTCAAGAAGAAATATCATTTCTTTCTTTGCTACCTTTTCATATGATCTGATATCATCAATATCATCTTTAGCAATAGAGGCAAAGGTATCACCTTGCTTTTGTGACAAATATGCCCGTAGCTCCGCGTACAATGGGCTGTTTTCTGGAATATCTTCCAGTCTGATGGATGATGATGCCAGCGGTATTTTTTAGCGTTCTTCGATACGAGGCATGGGGTAACGATTCTTCACTGTCACCTTGTTCAGCTGCCTGTAGTCAATGCACATCCTCATAGTCCCATCTTTCTTCTTCACAAACAGAACAGGAGCACCCCAAGGCGACACACTCGGATGGATGAACCCTGTCACGACCCGAGCCTACACCCTGGATATGGTTGGCACTCGAAGACCATTGCTGGTCCCCAAGTGAACCCTCATCCTGGCTGACTATAAGCGAAAAACTGATTCAAGCATACAAAGCTTAAAAACTGAAATAAAGTTCATAAAACTTAAATACAAACTTTAAATCCAAAGAAAACTCTTAATAATATAATATAATTAACTCGCCCCAAAATGGGAAACTTAAGTCTTTAAAACATTTAATAAAATAAATAAATAATACAGATTTCTCAACTTTACTGACTATCTATGAAGCCTCTAAATGATAATGATGGAAGTCGGGACAAGACCTACGACCTCCTAACAACTGAAAGTAAATGAAATCCTCCGGAAACAAGGAGGCTCACCATAGCTAACTCGAACTCTCGGATGTATCAACGAATCTCCTGTTGATGATCCTCAACACCTGTGTCTGCATCATTAAAAGATGCAGGCCAAATGGCTCAGTATGTACGAGCATGTAAGGGGAATTCTAAAGCATAACATAAGCTTGAAAAGAATCTGAAAGAAATTGAAGAACTTACTTGGCTCAACTCAACTCAACATAACTAAACTCATTTCAATATAAAGAAA